GCAATTTATGCCTATATAACACAGCCCTGCATTCGTTCTTTTCTTGTCTATTCAATCAAAAATCTCGGTCGAGCCCCCAATTTGTACGATCCCAGGTTTCGGTATAACGCAAATGTTTTTTATTGATTGTGGAATTAACTTAATGCGGCTTAGATGTAGTTTTAATCTTTTAGGAGTTACAAAATTATACGTGCGTCCGATGCTTATGAGTTATTGGTATCGACTGACTCTAATTCGTTTACATTCTGTAAACGTTCGAGCGACTTCTGCTAATTTACAGACGACACGATCAGAACCGACAGCCACTACGTGTTTGACGTTGATTATCATATCCTACATAAATGCAATAGTTTTCAGAAAAGATTAATCTTTAAAGTGTTAAACTCAGATAGGATTTCCATTAAATAGTTATCAGGTGAGTTATTTTTAAAGTTATTAAGTTGCTTGTGGGCAACATTGGGCAAGAGAAAGATTTGTCAAAAGATTTCTCTAGTGATGCAGAAAGGGAAGATGAGCTTGAAGACATTTCTGCTGTGTTGGAGATGAATTTGGAAGGAAACGTGGAAAGAGAAGAAACTATAGAAATCAGCCTTCTTGACAATGCGGATGAACGCGAACAAGAACAATGCAGTGTTGCTGATACTTGCTTTGAGAAAATTGATTTGAAGACACTGAAATGGAGATCAACGTCATTTGAAGCTCCAGAAAGTATTTGGGAAGATTGCACTACTTTGAAAGTTGAGAAGGTGATGACACCAGTAGACTATTTCTACACATTTTTTGACACTCGAGCTATTGATTTGATCACACAGCAAACTGATTTATATGGACTGCAAGAGTTTGGCATAGAGCTTAAATGTACTAGCGGGGATATAAACCGTTTTATTTTTGAATTCTGTTATATTTGGGTGTTTTAAAATTGCCACAATTCAAAATGGCATGGTCGCAAAATTTAAAGCTTACGGCTACAACAGATGCAATGCCACGCAGTAGATTTGAAAAAATTAAGCAATGCTTACATTTTAATGAAAATAGCAAACAACCTAAAAAAGGAGATTTAAACTACGACAAGCTGCACAAGATACGCCCCTTACTAAACATCCTCTAAGAAAACTTCAGTACACTTCCTCAGGAAGAACATCAAAGCGTTGATGAACAAATAATTGCGTTCAAAGGTCGGCCAACTTACAAACAATACAACCCAGCTAAACCCTACAAATGGGGTCTAGAAATGTTTGGAAATGCTGGAACATCTGGATTAGTATATGATTTTACACTGTATGTTGGTGAAGGCACCTGCCCGTCATATGGATTGGGAATATCTTCAGATGTAGTTTTATATTAGGCAAAAGGTCTTCCCAAACATAAAAACTTTAAGCTATATTTCGATAACTGGTTTAGGTCAGTAAGCCTTCTAATTTCTTTGAAGGGAATTGGCATATTTTCGACAGGTACTGTTCATAAAAATCGAATTACCAATTGCCAGTTACTGTCAGATGCAGAACTCAAAAAGCGAGGAAGAGGATCTTTTGATTTGAAATGTGAAATCAATTATAATATAGTATGTTTGAAATGGATCGACAATAAGCCAGTTCAACTTATATCTTCATGTGTAGACCATCAACTTGTCGGAATGTGCAAGCGTTGGAGCCAAAAAGAAAAAGCTTAAATTGATGTTGAAAAGCCTGCGATTGTTGCTTCGTACAATAAGGGAATGGGAGGAGTGGATTTGGCAGATATGCTCATGGAGCTCTACAAGGTCAATCACCGCTCAAGAAAATGGTACATAAGAATCTTTTATTGGTGCTTAGGAACATATATTACAAATGCTTGGCTGCTGTATAGGAAACATTTACAGTTTCTATATCCGAAGCAGAAACATATTTCTCTACTAAAATTTCACCTTGAAATTGCTGATGCACTTTTGCAATGTACTGCATCTTCTTCAATCCAAAAAAAAAGAGGTCGACCATCGAGTCTAGATAGGGGTAGCCCGATATCATCCATTGGCTCTCCATCGAGCAGTGTGTCTTCGCAACAGACAAAAAAGTACAGGTTCCAATGTCCAAATGCCTTAAGTGTAAGGTACATCTTTGCTGTAATAACAATAAAAACTGTTTTTTGTCTTATCATACTTAATATCTTAAAATTTGTAAATTAAATTGTTCGTGGTTTTCATTAAAAATAAAATTTTTTTATATACAACCATTGCCCAACGTTGCTTATAAGCAACTTCCGGTAGCGCCCAAGCGGATGGGCGTGGCTACCTGAAATTTTAGATAAATACTTCTTAAATTAATATAAATTGATTAAAAAAAATAAAAAAATTTCAAGCCACTGGAAAAAAGTTGGGGTCGAATGAGTTAAAGATCTTTGTGAAAAGCCGAACTTTTAAGTTTCGTCTCATCGGCCTCAGACTTTTTATCTAAACACTACATGAAAACTAAATGTATACGTGTTTAAACAATTTTGGAAATGCCACCCTCAACTGTGGAAATTTCTCGATAAATTGAAATTAGTTTGTATGTAATCGGCTTCAAACTCATTTCTTAAGAGCTTTAATAAAATGTACTTAATGTGTCTTTCGCAAAATAGACCGCTCTTGGATGGTATATGGGGGACAAAGGTTTCATGAATGAAAGTTTTTTTTCGACTTTAGGAATGTCACCATTAAGCTAAGTAGCATAGGGAGAAAAAGTTTATTTACGCATTAAAGCAGCAGTATTTCAGTCTAGCGGGAAACCCATCTGCAAAACCGAAAACAATGCTGCGATTGCCAGCATTGCAAACGAAATAGTTCATTAGCACAACTCTTAACAATCTCAATTTTGTGTATTGCCTAAATGCGATATTTAAAGCGTTCGCATACAGTCCAAAACATCATTTGCAATACTAACGCAAGACTACCAGGATCTCTTAGAACTTTAAAACGAAACAATTACTTTTTATATTGATAGCCAAATTTGGTTTGATACAATAACACGTGAGCTTTCTTTTTGATGTGACATTCGAATAATATATAGAAATTAAATAACTAAAAAGGTGAAACGGTAGACAAATTGTTTAAGTTAGTGCAAAGTAAACGGCGATAACATAAAATAAAAAAATTAAAATAGTAATTACTTTTGAATGAAGAAAGTACGTAAAATTATAAATTTGACTTTAATTAATACTAAGTTTGCCCCATTACCATTTATCACTTCAGCTAACCTTATTGGAATGTTGTACACTAAATTTATAAAGGTATTTGAAATGGCATTCCACTCCTCTAGTATGTATTCCCAAAAGGTTTTTTAGTTTATTTGATAATTGAGTTGAATTTTTTCATAAAATTTGCTCTGCAAGTGTTTTATTTGATTTAATTCATTCATAACCCAAATTAAACCAATGGAGAGCTTCTTCATGTTTTACTGTAGCTCTCCGAGGTCTTACACGAGACTCGTTTTCAATTTTTATTTTTATACCCTTGCAGAGGGTATTATAATATTGTCGTGAAATGTGTAACGCATAGAAGGAGACATCTCCGACCCCATAAAGTATATATATTCTTGATCAGTATCAACAGCCGTTTCTATGCGAACTAGTCTCTCAGTTTTAAGGCTATCTTTATGAAACTTTGCAGAAGTCCCTCCTTCTGTTGCACGCAGTTCAAATGTCAAAACCAGCTGGATCGGACCACTATATCATATAGCTGCCATAGGAACGATCGGTCGAAAAGTAGGTTCTTGTATGAAAAACATTTTTGTTTATAAAGTTATCTTTACTAAACTTGGTATTTATTAGTTTTACTACGTTCCCCATATATATGCAAAATCCTATTAAGATCGGACAACTATATCATATAGCTGCCATAGGAACGATCGGTCGAAAATTAAGTTTTTGTATGGAAAATTTCTATGTTTTTCAAGATATCTTGACCAAACTCAGTACTTATTAGTTTCACTAAGCACCCCATATATATGCAAAATTCTATTTAGATCGGGCAACTATATCATATAGCTGCCATAGGAACGATCGGTAGAAAATTAAGTTTTTGTATGGAAAATTTTTATGTTTTTCAAGATATCTTGACCAAACTCGGTATTCATTAGTTTTACTACGCTCTCCATATATATGCAAAATCCTATTAAGATCGGACAGCTATATCATATAGCTGCCATAGGAAAGATCGGTCGAAAATTAAGTTTTTGTATGGAAAATTTTTATGTTTTTCAAGATGTCTTGACCAAACTCGGTATTTATTAGTTTTACTACGCTCCCCAATTACATGCAAAATCCTATTAAGATCGGACAACTATATCATATAGCTGCCATAGGAACGATCGGTCGAAAATTAAGTTGTTGTATGGAAACCTGTTTTGTTTTTCAAGGTATCTTAACCATACTCGGCATTAACTATTTTCCCTGTGCTTCTTAGATACGGGCAAAGCACTATGAGCATTTTGAAAAGGTTGGGTCTGCAAGGGTATTAAATCTTCGGCGTGCCGAAGATAGCACTTCTTTCTCGTTTTTTTGTAAAATGGATATTTCGGGTAGATTACAATGTTTCGAACCAACAATCGAATCGTTGATGCCGAAGAATGCAATTTTAAATGTTTTTAAAAAGTTTAATTTATTCAATAAATTAATAATAAAATAATTAATGCAATCTACTACAATCTGCAGAAAAATTAATTAATCGATTTGTTTAAGATTTGAGGCCTTTATTTGGTCGATTTGGGAGTGAAACTAAACTTTCCGAAGATCACAAGACAGCGATAAAAGCCTTCTCGTGACAACAGCGTAAATACATAAAATCTATGAAATCACATTTTTTATGATCTTGCATTATCACCTGCCCACTAATTATCTTATAGGTTTCGAAGACATACAGACAAACCACCGTGTACCGCGGTTGGCAATTTACTGTGTCAATTCGATACACATTGAGCATACAAATAATTAACTGCCCAACATTTTTTTCGTTCAATTTAGAAAAATCGATCTATAGTCAAGTTGTGTCTGTATTCATATATTTCAGCATGCCGAGCTGGTACGTAACAAAATTGTTTCGCGTTCTCACACGTCGCAAGCCGCTTGAGGACTCAAGTGAATCAAAGTTAGCCAAAGTGCTATCCGCTTTCGATTTGACGGTTCTTGGGATTGGCAGTACGCTGGGTGTAGGCGTCTATGTGCTGGCTGGGGAGGTGTCTAAAAGTTATGCTGGTCCAGCTGTGATCATCAGTTTTTTGATAGCTGCCATAGCCTCAATGTTTGCTGGTCTTTGCTATGCGGAATTCGGTGCTCGTGTTCCCAAGGCAGGCTCTGCATACATTTACAGTTATGTGACCATTGGAGAATTTATTGCGTTTCTAATCGGATGGAATCTTATATTGGAGTACGCAATCGGTAAGTATGATATTAGCTACATCTTTTTACCTTCGACCAATGGAAAATGTATCAAACAAGTATAATGCTCAGGCGGAAGGATTTAAATAAAGTTTTTATATTCAATATAATCATGTCTGTCTGTATGAACGTGTCGATCTCGGAAACTATGAAAGCTAATGATTTAAAGCATATACATTCTCGAGTAGACAATTTTACTAATTTTCTTTTTATATCTCGGTATTTCGATAAAAATCGATTTTAAGAATAGGGCATAAGCATAAATATAAAAAGTAAGAGGTTCGAGTCGGAAGCCCCGACTAGAGGATACCCTGAACCCTCTTCTACCAACATCAAGTGAACGTCAAGCTGAACTCAAACCCGTACCGACCGCACTACTTACCAACGGCACCACTCGACAGCCATAACAAAAATTCATCTGCGACGAGAAAAATAAGAATTAAAATATCAGCACATACACACAGCACAAAAAATAAAACAAATACAGAAATTCTTGCAACTTTCGATAGTTTGCACAATATGAACACACGTTTTCGTTAATTACTTCTGTGTCTCTTAACCGATTTTGTTGAAATTTTCAGCAGTAGATCTTATTGTGCTTTAGAATATTCTTATATTCTCAAGAAGACAATTATATTTATTATGGCTTAAATTAGTGGATAGTTCGGGGTGGCAATAGCTATAAAATAGATACTTATTATATATATTTACTATTCAAGAAGCTACATGTAAAATTTGGAGACTCTAGCCTTGAAAACCTAAGAGATTTGCTCGAAAAGAAGGTTATCGATTCTTGGAAACAAACTTGTACTGCGCGGGCATTGAGATACTTTTGTTCATAAATACGGACGTCAGATGGACAGGCACACGGATAAGGATAGATTGACTCGGCAATTGATCCTCATCAAGAAAATATATACCTTATGGGGTCGGAGATGCTTCCTTCTGCCTGATACATACATCTGCACATAACTATTATTCCCTTTTGACACATTTTCAATGGGTTCAGGGTATAAAAAAAGTTAACACCAAGCTGTGTGTAGTGTGTAGGTTATCGTATAGTATATGCAGGAAAAGAACATTTCAAATCTAAGATACCTCCCCAATGAAACAAGAGTGTTCTAGTCGACAGTGCCCGACATTTAGATTAAGAAATCATGTTTTCGAGCAAGCCTTTTAAGCACTTGAGTCAAAATATTTTATTTTTTAGTTGTTATATTCATAAATCTGATTTATCTCTTTAGGAGAGGAAGGATTGGCCCAATTTGCCACACATTTATGCCCTGAGCATTTTACTTCCAAACTTAAGTGCGAGCGCATTTCCCATATTGTTGGGCGGAGGAAAAAAGTATCACAGCCGCCGATTAAACTGAAACAGAAGTAAGCTAGAATGATTGTTACGGCAGTTCGGCGTTGTGTTCAGGGTATCTTTTAGTCGGTCACTATAGAATAGAGAATTTTTATTGAGATTTATGAGCATATTGAATTCCATTGATTCCTCAATCTATAGGTTCCGCCAGTGTTGTCAAAGGGCTAAGCACTTATTTGGACTCATTGTGCGGCTATGCCATGCGCGATTTTCTGGTTGCACATCTGCCTATCCATGTGCCTGGCTTCAGCAGCTATCCGGATATTTTTGCGTTTATAGTGACTATTCTGTTCTCTTGGGCAATTGCATCAGGCGCAAAGGAGTCCACCAGAATGAATAATGTATTTACTATGATAAATCTCGGCGTGGTGCTATTTGTCATTATTGCAGGACTCTTTAAGGGTGAGTTCAAGCACAACACGACACTGTAGCATTCACAACGATGAAATATTAATATGATTAAGTATTTGATTTTGACATTATTTTTATACCCACGGCCAAAGAATGTTTTTGATCGATATTAACAGCAGAATTGATGAACAGACAGATGAACGACAGACGGTATTGAGGCTGATTAAGAATGTACGAAATAAAATTATAAATATTATGTATAGAAATTTCAAATTTCTAGAGTTGCGGGTGGATTTTCTAAAATCGCTTAAACACGTTTTTATTTAAGTTGTATAATGAGTTTGAGTTTAAGGCCGAACGGATGGTAAACAAAAAAGTTACAAACAAGCGTTTTTCACAATTTCTCTTAGCATCCACCTTTACCATATAAGGTAACTTGGTTTGGGCTGTGCGTTGAACCAAAAAATCATTCAGTCAGTCAGGGCAAACAGTTTTTTATAGAGAGACCAGCGGGTATAACCCGGCCTTGCCCGTGGCACGTATAAAATAAATTTTCTCAAAAAGCTTTCTTTATTAATTTTTTTTTTTTATATATGTTTTATTTTGCGCTGGAATCGATCAGTGCCTTCTGATCTTTTCCGAGCGAATGACTAAGGAAAGGGTGTATAGTTACTATTATATAATTCATATGATATTTACCGTGTACTTATTTACAATTTACAATACTGGGGAGAGACATGTTTAAATAATAATAATTGTTAGGCGGAGATCGCGTTCGTTGGCGTCGGCTGTCACGTACCATGGCAGGCCGGCAACCTTGCGTACTGCCTTGGCCTGGAGCACGCTAATGACCAGATAGGCGTTAACATCGTTTTGACAGGCAGTGCCTTCGTGGAAACATGCAGCTTGGTTTGGGGTTTTAGTAGCCAGTCGAGCTTTTGAAGCCGTCTCAAGAATTTTACTCTCGTTGCTGCGGACGCCCAAGTATCAGAATGAGCTAGTGTGCTGATTGGTTTCTCCATCAAACCGTACTCCCTGGCAACTGTCTGGGCGCAGCGTGAGATGACGCAAGCGGACTTGGCACAGTTTATGGCGACGTTCCAGTTAGCTGACCTGCAGCAGCCAGTCATGCACTGAATTTGTTGCAGCTTGCAGATATTTGTGCAAAGCTAGGAAGGCAGTGTCATCCGCGTAAGTTGCCACCAGCAGTCTCGCGGGGCTGGAGGCTGCACTGCTTTGTCCTTGTATGGGGAGGTCCGCCGTGTACAGAGTGTACAGCATCGGCCCGAGGAAGCTGCCTTGTGGGACACCTGCTTTGATGCCTTTGCTAACAAACCTTTTGTCTTTAACGGCCACGTTAAAGGTGGGTGCTGCCACTCTCCGGTGTGGAGAGTGTTTCCTGGCACTCTGAGGGTGATACGAGAGCAGAAATGAGTCTCCGTGAGCAGAAGCACATCGATGTGGTAGAGCTCGATGAAGGCTGAGATCTCATTCGCTTTCGAAAAGACGCCGTTGGCTTTCCACAGTTCTACCTTAAAGGAGCTCATTTTAGACACTGTTATGTTTAGCGCTAGTATGTATTAACGCTTGCAGTATGGTCTCTACGAGAGATATCACTTTATCGAACCTGGGGAAAAACATGAGCTCGAGGGCTAAGTTGGGACTGTCGGCAACAAGATGGGATCGACTGGGAATGCTGCCTGTGTTCCTTCTGCGAGACGATGAGCGGGCTCTGAGCTCGGCGGGCTGGCTACCGCACAGGACGCTGGCTCAAAAAGCTTAAAAAATGTTTTTGACACTGATCGGATGGAAAAGAAGCAACTTTCATACAAACGTTTGTGTTGCTCTATTGAGCTTTTTTAATAGCTTTCACAAATAGAAATATAACTTTATTTTATTTCTTGTGTTCCAATTTGTTTAAACCCGGGATTGGTCTGTGCTTATTATTTAAGAACAATAGTCTTACATAGGCAAGCGAACCCAAATTGGTACGTGCCGATTTAAGCGAAGCGACAATTGCGACAATTAATATGTTTGAATAATACAGTGGACGATGCGTACCAAATGCACGAAGCGAACGAACTTAAATAACTCAACGCGCAGCATCATGGCCGTCCCATAAGTTAATGCTAGGGATATAAAATGATCGTTACAGCGAAGAGCGCCAGCTTAATGTAAATGTAATCTTAAGAGCGATATTTAAGCATTTGCTTCGCAGAGCAAGTAATAGAAGATATGATTAAAATGCTGCTCTTATCAGTTGCGAGCTGTTTTGCCTGTGTAGTCAGACAGTTTGGATTTTGCCAAAAATGTAAAACACGTCTCAAATGATTTTTTATGTACATCCATGGAAATAAATTTGATGGTGAAAAACCCACCAAATCTTTTTTCCACCAAGGAGGAATACATTTTTCCAAAAGTGTGAAACACCCCTGGGTTGGGTGTTCAAGTCAATTGTCAAGTTTGGGTATATAACCTCAGCAAATAATAAGTTCTGTGTTAAGGCTGAATTTGAGGCATGCTGAAAGCGATGCGGCGACAACTCGGCTAATGGGTGTTCCAAAATGGGGGGCAGGCCCTATACTCGTTGAGGTTTTCGGAATTGGAATATACACAAAAGCTATTGTCGGAAAACTGGCCAAGAAGGCGGCGGAAAAATGTGAGGAAGATATCGAACACCAGACAGCTTATAGGACACATGGCAGATACCATAAGTGGAGTACCTAAAGGTTTATTTATTTATTATCCAATGCTGGTAGCTTTCAGGTTATTTTAAATTAAAATAATATAACCTTATAATAACTATAACTAAACAGAAAACATGAAACTTATAGAAAATGTAAAAAGTAAAGATTTAAAAAAAATTTTTTTAAGCTTACTTTTAATCAAGGCACTATTGCCAGAAAAATCAAGATGCATTTCAGTTGGAAGATTGTTATTAAGCCGTAAAAATCTATTCATGGGCTTGCAGAAAACGGCAAATTGTATCGCAAAGATCAGCTCGGCACATGCAAGTTATTGTGTGCTAGAAGGGACAGGCAGTCAATAAATTCTACAATTAAATTGTTTAACAAGTAAGAGGTTCTAGTCGGGAGCTGCCGACTAGGGGATACCCTGAACCCTCTTCTTCCCACACCAAATGCAGCTCGCGCTACGCGCCCGTTTGCTTTAGTAGTAATAAAGAAAAATTAAAATACAAAAAAAATTGTTTGCCTGGCATGGTTCGAACTCGCAACTAACCGCGTTTTGAGCTTTAATGAAAAAAAAAACCAATTAAAATAGCAGCACAGAAAACAATACAATTGCAATTGCAATGCTGTTGATAGAATTCAAAGCAGACGCGCATTAATGTGTGTGTGTGTACATGTATACAGAAATTCTTGGAATTTGCACAGCAGCTATGCTGCTAACACGTGCGCACGTAACTTTTGTGTTGCTTAACCGATCTTAATTAAATTTTCGACAGTACATCTTATTTTAGAATAGAATAAAGAATATTTGTGTATTCTCAAACATTCAATTGCATATAAATTGTGGCTTAAATTGATGGGCAATACAAGTTGGATAATTAACTTTATTAATAGCTTTTCTGTGGTAGCGGGGAGGTGGCGATAGCTATCAAATTAAAGATACTTGATATTTACATACATACTATTCTAGAAGCTACATGTCAAGTTTGGTGACACTAGCTCATATTATTTGCCGAAATTGCTCAGAAAGCCGGATTTCGATATCGATTACTTGGAAACGGGGAAAGTTATCGAATATCGGAAACAAACTCGATCTGCGCGGGCACTTGGAGGACCTACAGCCAAAATTTCAGTCTCTAGCTCTTATAGGTTCTGAAATCCTTGCGTTCTTACATACGGACAGACGGACAGACAGACAGACGGTCATGGCAAGATATACTCGGCTATTGATGCTGATCAATAATATATGTATATACTTTATGGGGTCGGAGATGCTTCCTTCTGCCTGTTACATACATTTGCACAAAAACAACAATATACCCTGTTTAGCCATTTTTAATGGGTTCAGGGTATAAAAATCACAGCCGCAATAATTCATTTTATAACATACGAACTTTACATTATAGTAATAGTGAACAGTATGACTCTTATGTTAATTCTGCCCCTGTAGATTTCTAGCTCACACACTTTGTGAGAAACTGTTATAGAAAAAAATATTAGGTGTTATAACACACTTTGTGAGAAACTATTATAGAATATAAATACTGGGTGTTATCACACACTTTGTGAGAAACTGTTAAAGAAAATAAATATTGTTTGCTGTCACACACTTTGTGAGAAACTATTATTGAAAATAAATATTATATGTGTACTATAATGTTTATTTCAGCATATATACATCTCTGTTCGCGATCATATCAAAGATCATTAATTTTCTTTTAGTTTCCAGCAGTAACTGGAATATTCCTAAATCTGCAGTACCCGAGAATTATGGCGATGGCGGTTTTATGCCGTATGGAATTTCTGGTGTTATCAAAGGTGCAGCTGTTTGTTTTTATGGCTTCATAGGCTTCGATTGCATTGCTACAGCTGGTGAAGAGGCTAAAAACCCAAAAAAATCAATACCATTTGCAGTGATTGTATCGCTAGCGACGATCTTTCTGGCTTACTTTGGTGTGTCCATCGTCCTTACTATGATGTTGCCATACTATGCACAGGATGAGAGTGCTCCTCTGCCACACGTCTTTCGTATTCATGGATGGCAAGTGGCTGAATATGTAGTATCCATAGGTGCAATGTTTGGACTGTGCGCTAGTCTAATGGGTGCTATGTTTCCTCTTCCGCGCATTGTATTTGCCATGTCCAACGATGGGTTGCTGTTTAAATGTCTAGGCGAAATAAGTAATAAGTATAAAACACCATTCAAAGGCACAATGCTGACGGGCTTGTTGTGTGGTATACTGGCGGCCGTATTTAATCTGAGCCAGTTGGTCAACATGATGTCCATTGGCACACTGCTGGCGTACTCAATGGTGGCAAGCTGTGTGCTTATACTGCGCTACGAGGTTGACGATCGTCGCGACAGTCGCACCCTTGGAAGTGGGCGCATCATAAGCTCTGGCCTGGAGCAGTCATGCGCTATGTGGAGACGTCTTCTAAATACCAACAACCAGTTTGTTCCCACCAAACAGTCAGCGCGCATTGTAACACAGTTATTGTTACTTTGTTCTGTAAGTTAAAATGTGAAATAGTTAAATGTTATTCTGGTTGACTTTTAAACTAACCTTTACAGCGATCTGGTGCCTGGTTTTCTCGAATATTCTTACTAAATTCGAGGAAGATCACGAACATGTGACCAAATATAATGTGCTTTTTTTAATACTTGCTAGCATACCATTGATAATTATGTTGATCATCATATCGCGTCAGCCCACCTCCGGAGCTAAGTTGTCATTCAAAGTGCCTCTGGTGCCCTGGCTGCCAGGCATTTCTATACTTATAAATATATATTTGATGATAAAACTGGATATATTAACTTGGATGCGCGTTAGTATATGGATTGGTATTGGACTGGTCATCTTTCTTTCTTATGGCATCCGCCACAGTCGTCTAAATCTGAGGGAGCAACGCAACAATTCCATTGCCCTACTTAGAGATTCTAGCGAAGCGCCATTTATAAGTCAAGAACATCATTAGCATATAGGACTGCTCTAAAGTTATTTAAAATATTATTTTATAAGATCTCAAAGTGCTGATTAAATAATTATACTAAAACAACTCAGGAACATTCCAAAAAAGCCAACGAAGTCACACTGGTATTGATGCACGTCTTGTCTTGAATCACTAACCAAAAAACATATAGACCGGACATGCAGAGTAAAATAGGTGGTCTCCAAAAATTGGTTTGCATCTGGTCCAACGAGCGAGTAAAATATACATATGACATCTTTTGATCGCTCACACTACAGGAAACTCCTTTGGCTTACTCTCTTCCATATGATTTGTGCGATAGAACGGCATCGCTGTTTTTTATCTCGCTCCCACTACAGGAAACTGCTTTGGCTTACTCTCTTCCATATGATTTGTGCGATAGAACGGCATCGCTGTTTATTTTTATCTCGCTCGCACTTACTCTCAGTGCTCTCAATGCTCTCTTCATGTCTAGGTACCGTTTAAATGTTTGTGTGTGCATGTGGCCGCACAAGCAAAAATGCCCACAAATTCAATTTTTGTCAAAAGTCGGTGGCATTTTTCTTCCCTTTTGAGGGGACGAGTAATATGAAATCATGAAAGGGTTTGCCAAGTCGATGCGAAATTCTTTCATTTTAGCTCGGTATTGCTGGAAAGGGTACCTAAGCGTTGGCATGTGTGCATTTAAAAGTTTTTGGACTTGCTATTCACGCATACTTGCATATTTTGTATATGAATAGAAGCATTTATGCGCATGTGTGCCTGTTGGTCCCTGCCTGCCTGTCCGATGCAAATTTGACAATATTTTTGGACTTCTGAATTTCGAGCTCTACACACACACACAGAGACACAAATGTGTGTGAATGGACTGATCATGGGCGCAAAAGAAAATATCATTTTTGGCCCGCGGTTGTCGCGCACCCTTCTTTTTATGATTTTGGGGTTGAATCGATGAAAAAATGTTGACCCTTCAATACCTGCAGATCCAATTCATGTATGAAAAAGCTAAATATTTAAAGACAATAAAATTATTAATACTATAAATATATAATTGCTCCTTTTTTCTATTTGGTATATTTGGAATATTTTAAAGAGTTTATTTTTTACACAAATTTCCTAAAATTATTTAAGTGATCAGTCACTTGACCTACATATGCAGGTGCAGGTGTTTGCCAAAAGTTGACCCTTTCGGCCCAACGGGCTGCTGCAATTAATAAGGGGTCAATATTCATTCATCAATTCAAGCCCTAAATCATAAAAAGAAGGGCGCGCGACAGAAGCGTGCCAATAATGATATTTTTAAATTTTGCGCCCATGATCAGCCCATTCACACACATTTGTGTCTCTGTGTGTGTGTGTAGAGCTCGAAATTCAGAAGTCCAAAAATATTGTCAAATTTGCATCGGACAGGCAGGCAGGGACCAACAGGCACACATGCGCATAAATGCTTCTATTCATATACAAAATATGCAAGTATGCGTGAATAGCAAGTCCAAAAACTTTTAAATGCACACATGCCAACGCTTAGGTACCCTTTCCAGCAATACCGAGCTAAAATGAAAGAATTTCGCATCGACTTGGCAAACCCTTTCATGATTTCATATTACTCGTCCCCTCAAAAGGGAAGAAATGCCACCGACTTTTGACAAAAATTGAATTTGTGGGCATTTTTGCTTGTGCGGCCACATGCACACACAAACATTTAAACGGTACCTAGACATGAAGAGAGCATTGAGAGCACTGAGAGTAAGTGCGAGCGAGATAAAAATAAACAGCGATGCCGTTCTATCGCACAAATCATATGGAAGAGAGTAAGCCAAAGGAGTTTCCTGTAGTGTGAGCGATCAAAAGATGTCATATGTATATTTTACTCGCTCGTTGGACCAGATGCAAACCAATTTTTGGAGACCACCTATTTTACTCTGCATGTCCGGTCTATATGTTTTTTGGTTAGTGCTTGAATGGATATGTGCGTCAGATTAGCATCGTCACTAAGTGTCGATTTTTGGAAATCCATAAACCGAATCACATTATTAATGCGGTTATTTTATTTAATTATTTTTACGCTCACAACCCAATTAATTTTTATTCCGAAATCCGAAAATCAATGTATTTAGAATACACACACACATAAGTATATATATACTATATATATTCAACCGCATTTATCATCCACGAAGAGCGCATTTAAAATGTGATAAACAATAAACTTTTATGGAATCGTTTACAGCAAATTTAGTCTCGAATGGAATTTCTGAAAACGCTGAAACACGTATTCAAAAAGTTCTTTTGTATTGCTTTGAATGTAAGTTTGAGGGCAATCGGACGAAACTTAAAGCTGCCCCTAAAAAATCCTTGACCCGTATTTTCCACCAAGGAAGCTTTGATTTTGCAAAAAATGTGAAGCACGTCTCAAATTTATTTATTTATTTATTAATGGTGGAAAAAACCCCTAATTATTTATGAAATCAATTTATGAAAAGTAAATGTTAAACGCCTAATTAGAATATACAATTTTCTAATAGTATCACCGACAGATGGAGGTGTTTTATTTGCCAGTCTGGCCAGCTGTGCCCCTTTTCACAGCTAATTTTGTGAGTGACGCTATTAGAGCCTACAGCTAAGAAGAAGGGTATAAGTAGAGAAAAAAGTGTTCTTAAAAAAAATTAAGAAAATTTTAATTTACTATGTTATTTAAGAAAATACAATAAATAGGAAAAAAGAAAGTAAGAAGTTGTTAATAAAGTAAAGTAACGTATGCTAGACATATAGAGTGTTCAGTAGATAGGATAAAGAGTTAGTGATGGGAAATCACCGTGGGGGAATATGTAAAGCCTGTCCGGCAAGCTATGCCCCTACTCATATCTAGGAATGGTCAGTGAGTTCCCGTAGGTATCCTGAAAGCAACGATTTTATTAGGGGTGGAGAAAGTTAAGTGGAGAAAACGGAATACAAACTATTGTAATTTTTACATAATACGCGAAAAGAATTGTGCATAGCGTAATCTGTTGTGCACGTTGGTAGCAATATGGGCGATAATTCCTGGTAGGTCTAAACGGAACAGAGAATTGATGACGCTCTAACAAAAGTAGTCTAAAGTAGAATCTATGTCGCCAACAATCAACTTATGTAGGAAGACAAGACCGAGGATTGTGATACGGTTCGTTAACGACGGAAAATTAAGAAGAAGAAGCCTGCTGGCGTAGGATGGCAACCGAAGATTGGGGTCCCAATTTAAACCTCGTAAGGCAATAAGCAGAAATTGCTTCTGAACAGATTTAATACGATCCTGGCTATTGTTATACTGCGGAGACCAGATGCAAAAACAGTATTAAAGGATAGGGCGCACAAGAGAGATGAACAGAAGGTTCGTTATAAAAGGATCGTTAAACTCTTTAGACCATCGTTTAACGAGTCCAAGTAAACCTTTTTCCTCATTAACGATGGTATCTATATGAAGATTAAATCAGAGTTTAGAATCAACAAGTATGAGCTATACCCTGAACTCTCTTATTCCAACACCGAATGCAGCTCGTGCTACGCGATCGTTTGTTTTAGTTATAATAAAGATAAACTAACACAAGTAAGAGGTTATAGTCGGGATCTCCCGACTAGGGGATACCCTGAACCCTTCGTTTGCTTGAATAGTAATAAAGAGAAACTTTAATAAAAAATAAGTTCCCTTGGCTGGGTTCGAACTCACAACTACCCGCATTACTTGCTGCCGCCACTACCCAACAGAAACGCCAGTCATAAAATAAAAATATTAGTTTCCTCGGTAGGGTTTGAACTCGTAACTGATAGCGCTACTTTCCGCCGCCTCTTCTCAAAAGCCACACTAACAACTAAGTCTTAATGAGATAAAACGATTTCAAATATCAATTGCTGCCCCAAACTCGAAGCCAGCAATAACATGCTTTATTTAATAACTTCTGTGTTTCTAATTGTACCATCTGTTTGTGGGGGAGGCGTCAAATAAGTAATCTTCAGGTGTTGTTTGAAAATCAGTATGATTATTTGGTAGTGGCACTTTATTAGAAACTTTCGGCTGCATATAATGAACTATACATTTGAAGTTATTTACATATTTTTGGTTGGAGCTATGGAGGTGCAAAGGAGAGTGCTGAGCGCATCTTGGATCGAATTAGTGAGTGAGTCTCTCTCAGTGAGTGAGTCTGTCTCACTGAGTGACTCTCTAACACTGAGTGAGGCTCAGTCAATGCTGTGTTCAGACTAGCAATGAACTGGCATGAACATTCTCCCCCCCCCCCTGGCAATATTCAGATTGCAAGGATTCCTATTGCGTGCATGTGCCAGAGAGTATCCATCCAAACTTAGTATTTTGAGCCATCGGCAGACCGCCTTGGCTCGGGAGGATACCTGGTAGGATGATGTCTGGGTAGACGTCGGCGCCGAGTACCAAAGGTACTGGAGATGGACGGAACCAGTCGTTGTGCGCCAAAGCGACGTTGCTTAACGGGTCCTTCATGTCCGCTCTGATAGCTCGGGCTGGAGTTGTGCAGCTGAGTTGCGGGTCAGCCATTAAGACCACCTCTCGAGACATCTGAGTTGTCTTGGAGCGTAGCACGGCTGTGCACGCTCCTTCTGCGCCAATGCGTGTGACGGAAAGGCCATAGGCCCTTGCCACGGTTGCATTAATGCGGCTTACTGAACAACATGGATCGATCGGAGCCCGAGTCTCAAGGGTCTTTTTCCCGGTGTCGAGCAGCACTATGGCGGTGGGCAGTATACTGACCCCCTTGTGCTGGAGAAGGGACGTAAGCGACGTCCGTATAGTAGCACGTCTCGGGCTTGGGGGTGATGTGCCGCTGGAGGGCGAGGAGCCAGAAGCTCTTCTTGTGGGCCGGTTGTCTGACCGAGAGGGTCGAGCGCTACGGGGACCACGCATGTGGAGTAAGGTGTGGTGGTCCTTTTTGCAAATTTTGCACTTGGCTCCACTGCGACATGATTCCCCTGAATGCTGATGAGCCAGGCAGTTGGAGCAATATTTGTTAATCAAAACGGCTCGGAGACGCTTCTCGGGCGTGAGCTTCAAGAAGCGCTGGCACTTGCGTAGCGCATGGATGCCTCTACACACCCGGCATCTAAAAGAGTCCGTTCCTTGGCGTTGATTGGATGCCTTCGTTGACGGTGCCATGCTGGTTCTCTACAGAGGAGTGAACTGGAGAATAAGATGTAGGAGAGGTGTTATTATGTGATGGTTTTGTTTTGAAAGAGGGATTAGTTGCTTTTAAGGATTAGTCGGTGGTGTTATTTGCCTCAGTAGGAAGAAGGACCAATTTGGCTATTGGCCTTCGGATGACACCACGAGCGGTAAGCACGTCCACTACGCGGACCTTATCATCTGTGCCTGGGCAAGCCAGCTGGACTCGGCCAAGGCGCCATTCATTTATTGGTAGGTTATCTTCCTTGATAATCACCATATCACCGACTTGGAGGTCCCTTGTAGGGGACTGCCATTTGTTTCGCTTATGGAGCTCTTTTAAATACTCATTCTTCCACCGGAAGCAGAATTGCTGGTGGAGCGCTTTGAGTCGCTGCCAGCGGTTAATTATAGAAATAGCGTCTTCTTTGATTACTGGCTTGTTAGTTGCCAGAAGAGGGCCACCAACTAGGAAGTGGCATGGACTTAGAGCCAATAAATCAGTCGGATCTTCCGACATTGGAGAGATTGGCCTGGAGTTAAGGCAGGCTTCAATCTTGGAGAGGAGAGTCGCGAACTCCTCAAATGTATATTTTGAGGATGCGGTGGATTTGTAGAAGTGGGTCTTAAAGCTTTTGACACCTGCTTCCCACAATCCGCCCATGTGAGGAGCGCCAGGAGGATGGAAATGCCAACACAAGTTTTGATGGCTATGCTTGGATAAGATGAGCTCTTTGGTCGCTTGCAAGAAATCTCTCGAAAGAACGGATGACGCTCCCACAAATGTTTTCCCATTATCTGAGTACATCTGTTGTGGAAGGCCACGTCTTGCGATAAATCGCGAAAATGCGGCCAGGAATCTCTCCGTGGTTAGATCTGTTGTGGCTTCTAAATGGATTGCTTTCGTGCTGAAACAAACGAAGACACAGACATAACCCTTGGTAATTTTGCATGCTCGACCAATGTAGCTTTTAATATCGAAAGGTCCGGCAAAGTCTACACCCGTATGTGTGAAGGGTCGGGAAAAGGTTGATCTCGCCCCCTTGGGAGCTCGCCCATAAGTTGGGTCTGGAGTCGTCTGCGGTGTATTACACAGACCTTGCAGGAGTTTATGGTAGATTTTACCAGGACCTTGAGCTTTGGGATCCAGTATTTTGCTCTTATGAGGCGCATTACCTTTGATCGATGAAAGGGGTTAAATTGCGAATGCTGCTTGATCCTTGAATTGGCTTCTTATCGAGCAAACAGCTATACTCCTTAGGATAAGCTTGGCGTTGAGTATACTCGATAAGTCGGAACTGACCTCTCGTAAGTTCTTCATTACGGAGCTCGGCGGGAAAGTGGATCGCTGGATTTCTACAGCGCTGGATATAGCGACAGACATATGCGATAACTCGCAATGCCTTGTCGAATCTGGAGATTCTGTCTCAAGTACCGTAACAGGAACTGGCCATTGGTTTTGTGGTAGTTGTAACCATTCCGGTCCATGCCACCCCAAAGTGCTGCCCAATAGGTCCCGAGGAGAAACCCCCCGACTAGCTAGGTCAGCTGGGTTATGTTCTGATCGAACATGGGACCATTTGCCATTGGTTGATGTTATCTTGGCTACCCGGTTAGCCACAAAGGTAGACCATTTGCATGGAGGTTTATCCAACCAGGCAAGAACAATAGTGGAGTCTGTCCAATTGAAATTTTCTCTACTCTGGATGGGGAGCTGAGGAATAAGAGCCGTGGTGAGCTCGGAAAGAAGAACGGCGCCACACAGCTCTAAGCGTGGTAGTGATACCGTCTTAACTGGCGCGACTCTCGTTTTTGCTGCGAGAAGGTGAGTGGAGATGCATCCGTTGATCTCGACGCGCAAATAAAGTGCAGCACCATATGCGCGCTGGGACGCGTCGCAGAAGCCGTGAAACTGCACCTTTGCCTTTTGCTGAAAATCGACCCATCTTGGAATACGGATCTCTTCGAGAGAGGGATAGTCGGTTAGGAAGTCATGCCAACGTTGAACGAGATCTTCCGGCAGGGAATCATCCCACCAGCTCACGTCTCTTGTGAGCCGAGATCGGTCTTGCATGAAAATCTTACCATTTTGGACGGAGCAAAGAAAAACTGGTCTGTTGTGGCTTGCCATCGAATGCCTAGCGTTTTAGCGACGCTGGCCTCTTCGATTTCTAAGAAATCCGCACACAGTAAGTGGTCCTTTGGTATTCCTTTTAACACTTCCTTTGTGTTGGATGTCCACTTTCTCAGAAGGAACCCGGCTCTGTCAAGTGCCATGCGGAGTTCTGCAATGGCTGAAATTGCTTGTTGCTTCGTGTGTGCCCCTGCTAGAACATCATCGACATACATATAATTTTCAATTATGTCGGATGCGATAGGACATTGTTCTCGTATATCACGAGCAAGTTGATGGAGGAGCAGGATTGCGAGGTATGGGGCACAGTTTACCCCAAAGGTAACTGTATTGAGTTCGAAGTCGAAAGTTCTTCGTTCTCATTGCGAAATAGTATTCGTTGGTAGGGCGTATGTCTTGGATCGACCTGGATTTGCCGATACATCTTAGTTATATCGGCATTGAAAACGTAGCGGTAGAATCGTCACTTTAGTATCTGAATCGTCAGATCGGATTGGAGTTCTGGTCCCGTGTGTAGGATATCATTTAGACTTTTGCCATTGGAAGACGGGCTGGAGGCGTTAAACACAACGCGAACCTTTGTTGTGGTGCTGCCGGGCTTAAAAACAGCATGACGCGGCAAGTAAAAATTATTGGGGTTGCTGTTTGGAGAGACTTGTGTCATATGACCTAAGTCGAAGTACTCCCGAATCACGGAGTCGTACTGCTCTTTCAAAGGAGGGTTTCTTTTTAAACGATTCTCGTTCTTTAGAAACTGAGCTAGTGCGATAGATCTTGAATGTCCTAAGTCTATGTGATTAGGTTCTTGGAAAGGTAGGGTGACTACATATCTGCCATTCTCGTTCCTTGTTGTTGTTCGGATGAAATTACTCTCACAAAAAGAGTCGGAGCTCTTTACCAGTTTGACTGGAATGTCCTCCACCTCCCAAAATTTTCTGAGAATGACGTCTAATTGCTCTTCTTGAGAGACAGATATTCGAGTCGAGAATGACGAGATTGCGGTGGATGCGGTCTTTGAAACTGGGCCTGTTAAAGTCCACCCAAAAATAGTTTCCTGGCCCAGCAACGTGCCACATATATTAGGATGGGAGCCGCCCGTTGTATGGACGGTAGGATATCAGCGCCAATCAGCACATCTATCTGCGAACTCTTGTGGAAATTAGGGTCCGCTAACTGGAGTTTTGGCAGGGTTGTCAAAAAACTTTGGGGGATCGAACATGATGGTAGATTCCCTGCCAAATGTGGAAGGACGTAGGCTGATGCCTCGATTTGGATACGAGGCTTGGAAGGAGAGCCAATATTAAAATGGCAGAGCTTGCGAGGCTGGGCTGCAACAGCTTGATTCAATCCCGATACTTGTGCCTGTCCGGATTTGTACGGCAGCTTTATCAGGTGGAAGAGTCGCTCGGAAATAAATGTTGCCTCTGATCCCGAGTCGATCAGTGCACGAGCTGTATAATTTACACCCAAATGGCGAACATATATAACAGCCGTGCTTAGGAGAACACCGTGGGTGTTAATTGCAACATAATTGTAAACATTCGTTTGTTGGGATGGAGTGGACTGTATGGATTGATTGGAGGGAGCTGTTGCTTGTAGCATGGAGATTACCGTAGGGCTCAATTGTGGAGTGTCACTACGATGCAAGAGCGTATTGCGACGACCCTTGCACGTAAAACAATTGTGAGCACTTGTGCAATCCCTTAACTGATGACCCCTAGCGAAACAGTTCAAACATAGTTTTTGCTGTTTGATGTAAGTTGCCCGTTCGCTGACGGGCATTTGGAGAAATCGTGGGCACAGACGGATAGGGTGATTCTCCCTGGAGCACAATTTGCAGGCTTGCGGCTTGTTAGCGACCTTATTCTCAAATGAGTTAAGCCTTCTAGTGGTAGGAGGTTCTGTTCGAACAATTCTGGATTCTTAAGCTCTTCTATCGCTTCGAGAATGCGATAGCGTTCTAAGAGAAAGGCGTTCATCTCAAGCCAAGATGAGATGTCGATTTTTCTGGAGATGGACTGTACCCATAAGGAGAGTGTTAATTTGCGTAATTTGGAGGAACATAGGAACACGAGGATACAGTCCCAGTTTTCTATGTTGATTTCGGATAACTCAAGAGCTGTTAAGCAACCTTGAATGGTGCTCTGAAGTTCCTTAATTGCCGTTCCAGACTCTTGGGAGATTGGCTGCAGGTTGAAAAGAATCTTGAGCTGGCTGTTGACTAACAATTTTCGGTTCTCAAAACGCTCAGTCAGATTGGCCCAGGCTGATCGGAAGCCATCGTTAGTCAAAGGTGACTTCGATACAATCGCCTGAGCCTCACCGCTGGTTTTCGCATTGAGATTGAATAATTTCTCGACCTCTGATAACCTAGGATTATTTATGTAAATTGCGGTAAAGAGGTCTCGAAATGTGGGCCAACGTATGTAATCTCCGCTGAAGATTTCTGTGTCGCAAGGAGGTAAGCGACACCCGGTGGGAACATATGTCGGAATGGTGGACTGAGCGGATGGTCTATTTTGGGCGTTAGCGGTATCGATTTGCTCGCTAAGTTTAGCGACGCATCTCTCATATACCATGTAACAATAGTCGTACTTGGACTGCATAACTGAAATGGTTTCCATTGAACCGGCTTCCGAGATTATTGTTGAGCCGACCTCGTACTCTTTTTCAACCTTGTCCCACAAGGCTCGCACTTGGTCCCGACGGACCTGGCACGTATAGAGAGACGGGTCAGAGCCTCCAGGAGTGTTTATTTTTGCCTCAAACTGACTTAGCCGATCAGTGACAGCAATAAACTTGATTAAGGCCGCGTCTGTCATATTTTGGGCCGTTTTGGTATTAGTTCGCGTGGAAATCGGACTAGATCTTGTGCTAATGGTTGCCTTAGTGCGTCCGACTGCAGTAGACGGAACCAATCGTTGTCCGCTAAAGCGACGTTGCTTAACGGGTCCTTCATGTCCGCTCTGATAGCTCGGGCTAGAGTTATGCAGCTGAGTTGCGGGTCAGCTATTAAGACCACCTCTCGAGACATCTGAGTTGTCTTGGAGCGTAGCACGGCTGTGCACGCTCCTTCTGCGCCAATGCGTGTGACGGAAAGGCCATAGGCCCTTGCCACGGTTGCATTAATGCGGCTTACTGAACAACATGGATCGATCGGAGCCCGAGTCTCAAGGGTCTTTTTCCCGGTGTCGAGCAGCACTATGGCGGTGGGCAGTATACTGACCCCCTTGTCGACGTCCGTATAGTAGCACGTCTCGGGCTTGGGGGTGATGTGCCGCTGGAGGGCGAGGAGCCAGAAGCTCTTCTTGTGGGCCTGTTGTCTGACCGAGAGGGTCGAGCGCTACGGGGATCACGCATGTGGAGTAAGGTGTGGTGGTCCTTTTTGCAAATTTTGCACTTGGCTCCACTGCGACATGATTCCCCTGAATGCTGATGAGCCAGGCAGTTGGAGCAATATTTGTTAATCAAAACGGCTCGGAGACGCTTCTCGGGCGTGAGCTTCAAGAAGCGCTGGCACTTGCGTAGCGCATGGATGCCTCTACACACCCGGCATCTAAAAGAGTCCGTTCCTTGGCGTTGATTGGATGCCTTCGTTGACGGTGCCATGCTGGTTCTCTACAGAGGAGTGAACTGGAGAATAAGATGTAGGAGAGGTGTTATTATGTGATGGTTTTGTTTTGAAAGAGGGATTAGTTGCTTTTAAGGATTAGTCGGTGGTGTTATTTGCCTCAGTAGGAAGAAGGACCAATTTGGCTATTGGCCTTCGGATGACACCACGAGCGGTAAGCACGTCCACTACGCGGACCTTATCATCTGTGCCTGGGCAAGCCAGCTGGACTCGGCCAAGGCGCCATTCATTTATTGGTAGGTTATCTTCCTTGATAATCACCATATCACCGACTTGGAGGTCCCTTGTAGGGGACTGCCATTTGTTTCGCTTATGGAGCTCTTTTAAATACTCATTCTTCCACCGGAAGCAGAATTGCTGGTGGAGCGCTTTGAGTCGCTGCCAGCGGTTAATTATAGAAATAGCG